GTAAATGTTTGTGTAGGAGCACCTCATCTTTAGGCCATGGACCAAAAAAAATATTTAAACACTAGAGGTGACGACATTAAAATTAACGTGTTTTGCAATCGTCGGGGGACATTCGATTGCCCAAAAGAAAAGGTTCATGGTCAGATAAGTAAAAAGCTTGAGGTGAAGCCGGATTTGGTTCGAGAGCTAATGTAAGTTTTCAGGCTTTTTATAATGTTTAGAATTAATGATGGCACCGTAAAGGAAAAGACTATTTTTCTTTCGCATAAAGAAATGAAAGGAATTCAAGATAGAGCTCGCATTTTCACTGATGAAGAACTGAGAGAGAGAGAAAGGAAGGAGAAAGAACTTAATGAAAAACTTACGGTATGGTTAATTTTCAAATTCTGCCCCACCCCATTCCCTTTTACATATTCTGCACTTATGCGGCAGCTTTTCGAATTAAAATATCTTTCCAAACCTGTTTTTGAGTATGTTACCACTTAAATTTTGTGTGCAACCGGTTTTCTTGATATTACTGACAACTTTTGTAGTCGCAACCTAATTTGCATATCGGTTTTTGTTAACTAGAGATCTGGTAAATTTGTCAAACAAGCGTGGCACATAGATTGGAGTCATGTAATGTGTTGAATGTAGCATAAGTCCTGGTGCTTCGTGTATAGATGGCCTCCACAATACACAGTAACTGTTTTTCTAACTGAAATTATAGCACATCACTTCAGTAGTTTTGAACCAACGCCAAACTTCAGACGGGATGGTGCTTTCTGTGTTTTTCTAATAACCTTTCAGGAAACATTTTGCGTAATGGAAAAAATAGACATTCTGAAACTCAGTTTGTACTTTAAGCACATGACTCTAGTTTTGAGTAGTGCAGCCAAGTTAATGCCAAAGGTAAAAACGATGAGTCTAGGTATATAAAACCTATTGTAAATTTCCCAATACTTAAAATTTTTTTCCAAATTCTGGGTGGTTTAATTTCATTGCTATAACCTTGGCAATCAGCTGTCGTTGGCTCCAAATCGGGTTGAATATAGTTTTGTGATTAAACCACTCATTAAATATAAGCGTTTACAATTTGCACGCCGGCCTGACTCTCTCACACTGACTTATGCATTGTTTCTCAATATCGACTACGATCAAAATAAGACTGCTTCAAGTTCAGTAAGATATAGTGTTCACTTGATTTAGTTTTCCATAGAAAACGGGATATACTTGACCAATGCTTAACAAAAACACCGCCATGGTCACCTAAATCCAAGTGGTAGAGGTAGAAGGGTTAGTAAGATCCACATGTAATCCTAGCGACGGGAGAAATTAATAACTCAATAGGCACTGACCGGAACTAACATCATTAATGGACCACCAGTTAATTGAACCTGGCCAGTCGGCGTTATATTTTTCAAAAATGAATTTAGGTAAAAAGCAGTGCTAGTGAGTGGCACCCGTTTAGGCAGTCACCTAACTCTGTTCACTGTATTGATAAGTAAATTGTCTTATCCATTTAGATAACATCGTGATCTTGATTTGCTAACCCTCATAGGTTACTTATTAACATCTAATGAGGCACTGTCACAATGAACATTGAAAATGGATTTCTCATACTATCGCCTCAAGAACATGTCAAGTTTTCACGCTTTCAGTGATTTCGATACCTTAGTTTTGGTTCCATCAATATCCATTTATGGAATTTAAGTAGTCCTTCTCAGGCGTGGAACTAACAGACGTATTTGTTTTCCGCTAGAATGAGTCATCGGATCGTAAGTTCGCAATGAAGAAGCTCGACATGGCGCGTCGTGTGAATGAGAAACTCAATGACCTTGAGGAAGAGGCGAAGAAGCAGTCGCAGTACCTGTTGGCGAAGGCCATGGAGCAGAGGCAGGACGAGGAGGAGGAAATCAAGCAGTTGAACGCGGCCATCACGAATGCCAAGATCCAGGCTATTCGCGACGCCCAGGTGCTCGAAAAGAAGCAAATTGCAAAGGAGTTGGCGGAGGAGAACGATCGGCTAGACAAGATGATGGAGACTGATCGACAGAACGCCCTGAAGATCCAAGCCGCCATAGAGGCGAAACGGAAGGAAGAGGTGAGGAGGTATAGTTTCACAGCATGCTTGAAATTAATACAACGTGGGTTAACGCTTGCACCTCTCTTGTAGGAGCTTTTGGGTGCGTGTGAAATAATGAAACAAATAAACCAGAACGAGCAGGAGCGTCTGTTGAACCTGGAGAAGACCGAGCAGGAGAATGTGGCGGCGAGGAAGAAGATGGCGGCTGAGATGCTTGAGGAGATGCAACGACGCATCGATAAGAGAACCCAGCAGGACCTCTTGAAGGAGGAGTTGGACAAGTCAGCTGAGTTGATGCGTACCATGCGACTGAAACAGGCGGAGGAGGATAGGCTGTTCGACCTTAAAATACTCCAAGAACAGAAAGCCAAGGCCGTAAGTTGATTGGTCTAGAGCAGACACCCTTGTGGGCTTTGGCTATTGGATCAGGAGGTACATTATAACAAGCTAAACGTGGTAGGTATTAAAAAATTTGTTGCTTTTTTCAGTCCTACTTCTCATTTATGGATCATAAACTCAGCTCTAAAACGTTTTCTTTTTCAAATAATGTTCTTTTTTTTTCAAAACTTAATTACCTAACGATGGCCTCCCTTTGTTACTTAAAATAAAATCTTTTAAGTAAAAATTCAATAAAGCATTAGTGTTGGGGTGCGCTGATGGAGCCAGAATCCAACATGAACCGGCCAACAAGCCGATGCACACCATTTTTACAATCATAGCGACCGCCGCCATCTGATTGGCTCGTTTCTCCTGTGCAGTACCTAGGCCGAAATAATATTATCACTGATTATTTTGATGGCGTGGTCTCGTTCACATCACTTTATTTTACATCCAGGATCGCGAGGCTGCCTATGAGGAAGAGGTGCGCCGCATTCGACTTGAGAAGGAAAAGGAAATAAACAGGCTCCGAGGACTTCAGGAGCGCGCAAACGACTTACAGGCGGAGAAGGACGCGCTGAGAGCAAAACGCGCCATGGAGGAGAACGAGAGACAGTGGCGTCGAAAGGAATTGGCGGCTGCTAAAAAGGCCCAAGAGACGAAGGAAGAAATGAACCGTGAGAGAATCAAGGCTGCTGAAAACAAGACTCGAATTCTTGCAATGGAGGCTACGAGAAATAAGATGGACTTTGAGCGGATTCTGCAGTGGGTTTCATGTTCACCGCCTTAAAACATTTAATGATATTCATGCTACTATGTGTTTGTTAGTAGTATATTGTGTTAGATATTTTGACAACGGTTGTCATGCTTTTATCTACCGGCGAAGTAGCTCATTGTGACACTTTGTATGGCTTATGCCCATGTGAGTTTGATAGAAATTTTCAGTGAACGAAACTCAAGTGTAATATTTAAGTAAGCACGAACCACAAAATAATTCGAGAACAGAATATTTATTTGTTTCTGTATTTTACCTTGCAGACATCAAAAGGAGCTAATCGAAAAGGACAGGCTTGAACAGGAACGCCGAAATAAAATGAAGCTTGAATTCTGTGCTGGCTTGAAGCGACAAATTTGTGAGAAAGAGCAACAACGCATTGCAGAGAGAAACGCCTTCTTTGAAGAGGGCGTACGAATGGAGGAAGAGGCACGACTGAGACGTTTACGACTTTTAGATGCCAAGAATCGAAAAATGGAAGAACTCAGGTAAGTCCTGTGGCGGTTTTGCTTAATGACTAGGCACTGAATTTTAATTCAAAGTTAGTTCGGACAAATTTTGTCTGTTGAGTGCTTTGCAATGATTTTATTAACATTAACGACACGATTTTAAGCAGTCGATACTCGAAATAAGCATACAATAACTAGCAGCTTTTTCTAGTCAGTATAAAAAGCTGTCTGATTGCAAATTTTTGAAGTTACACCCCAAAACCAATTGCATTAATGTGGCTAATTGAATCGCAGTTGCGTTGTGTCGGGTGTCAAAAGATTTGTTTGCAACACTGCTGACGAAATAAGTGTCCTTGACTAATGGTGTGATCGAATTTTTTTACAGGAAAGCCGGGATTCCCGAGAAATATCTGGCGGAAGTTGAACGGAAGACAAGTCACATCAAGAATAAACCCTGAACAACAAATAACAAATGATTGGTGTTATTGAAGCTGAGACAATCTACGTGAAGCTCACTTGTCCATAGAAATACAGTGCGCATTAGTAGGTACTCATAATAAGAATGTGAATGACGTTTCACCAAGGATGTTACTCTTTGTTAATTAGCTTAATTGAAATCCAATTCTAAATTCCCAAATCCGTAAGGGAATATCATAGGGACATTTACCAACTCAACTTAACACGTTTCATGGCCTTGAACAAAAGCCTGTAAAAATTTCAAATAATTTTAAGCACAATGTTTTAGGTTCGCACTGTTTCCGTGGTATAGAATCAGAAACCAGTTTGAATGAACAAACTTTTAGCATCTACGTTAGTACAGGATCATCCATATGCAACGCCATAGACCAATGGCTCGTGTGTTGTAAAGTCAGTTTCCTAAAATTATCTTAGGGTTTCGACATTACTTCCACAATCAACAATTTACTACCGTTTAACCTAATATTTCGTTATTACTAACAGACACCTAAGACTGTTGCATTTTTACCTAGGTAGCCTAAATTATTTCAATAAATGCATTGATGTAGGGTCAAAGTTGTCACCACTTGTCGGTAATTGCCCTGTTTTCTGCGGACACCACTAAAGATATTCAATGAGTGACCGGATTTTCGCAGTTCAAGAAAATACAGAGGACTAGTTGAATAAAAGCTTATTGTATGAAACAGAACCTGATATAGGATTATCGAAATTTTGCGTAAATCCTAGCTAGTGACATCCGAAATCGAAGTTAGCTGCTATAGAAAGGTCAATTACATGAGCCAGTGTTTGTCATGATATAAAGATTTTAAACTGGCAAAGAATTACACGCCATTCCTTTTACATGATTCAGTAAAATTTATAGTTACTAAACCTAAAAAAGATCACTGCACTACGGTTTCGGTTCCTGAACACTTTTGGAAAAACGGACAGGGAATAAGGTTTGTCAATTCTTATTAGTATTGCTGCTGCTTTCTAAAAATAGTATTTGAAGTTTTTAACGGATTATCTATCATTTACCAATTACATACAGGTAACAATTGATTTCATAATAAGAAAAAAACAAATATAACACAAATTAGGCATCGTTTGTAAGAGCAACCGCTAGCTAAAACTGCCTTGCAGGATAATGCAAAAAGTTTTTTATTCAAAAACGAAAAAATGAATATTTTGAGCTGCCTACGAGCACTCCAATAGGTGTTTTTAAAATGTGGTAGAATAAACCGGTATTTTCTCATTTGAACCTATGGTGATTAGAGAAAAGGAAGCAGCAAATATGTCTGCAAATTTTATTCTTACAAATAATGTCCACTTATGCTAGAGCAAAATATGAATTATTTGTGAGACATCGAAGCAGTTTCGTTAAATGTTTTGTTTAATGTTGTTCTTAAATTGCCGCTAAATCAAACAATTGGCCTTTGAGCCTGATTGCAAATTTGGATGAATTAAAATGAGTGCTGGGCCAAAAAAGTAAGATTATACGCTTGTGTATGCTGATTAGCAACTATATAATATAATGTTACATTATCAACTGCTTTAAACAAATCTGATAACCCCACAACGTCAATAGTCGGTCCAAGCTTGTAACGAATGTGCAAAATCGAGGTCTGATGACTTACAGTCTGGCTCTCGTTGATTGATATTCACGCCTTTTGGCGAGGAAATTTTAAATTGGTTGAGATTTAGGTGCATGTCTCATTTGTCTTTGGAAGATGGGCGGATCATGCAACCAGAAAATGATAGTCAAGATGAATAAATACAATTGCTTTACTTAGACAGTCAGGATTGATATGTGGCTTTGTGCGTAAATTATGTGGGAAGCTGGAATAAGTGGTTAAATGTGAGGCAAGTTGGTTTCCCACGTTAATTCCTTAAACTTAAATTTGTCAGTTCAGACGGTAGTGTCTGTCAGTTTCTTACTGAAGTCGCCATTATCATGTGCGAGACTTGTTCGTTCTCTCAAAAGTTTGCTACCGCAATGTTTACATAGTGCACTTAATAAATGGGTCGTAGCAGATAAAACAGGCGAATGCAATGCCATTGTATTAATATACGCAATTTATTTCATTGTAGATGAGTTTCTTCACAATGTTTATTTTTAGAGTAGGTGAAAAAATAGAATAATTTTTCCTTTTTCTTGCATTATAAGTTTTCTAAAGCCAATTTTACAAAGGGATTTGTGATTCAAAAATCTGGAGATTTCTAGTTCGAACTCATCACCAATCATGTTTCACGACCACTTCTTTTATCACAGTCTCGATTTCTAAACTAATTTTTTTCTGTTACACTGCTATAACCTTCCTGTATTCCATCCGCTAGAATGAATGAGTCCATACTTTTGTTTTGTATTATTACCAAGCACATCGACCTTCTTGCATTAATTTCTCCGAACACTAATTTAGATTGTAAATTTTCGTCGTTTCCTAATGCATTTTTTTTGTATTCTCCACCGCGTTATAGCAGACGTCATAAGGGAATATAATTCTTACAATGGCTCATCTAACCTTAAATTAGTTTTTTAACATGACTCCTTGGCAATAATTCTCCATTATTATTTATTTCTAGATTTACCTTTAAGTCCCTGAAATCGGCCCTTTCAAGCACCTCTACACCTACCCCAACGAATGTAAGACATGACGCTTTTTGATGCCATGTGTTTAGTCACTTCGAAAACCAATTTTTACCCCTGTCAATTCTTCCTCTCCTACCCCCAATGTTAATCCCACAAGCAGACCTCTACCTTCGGCAGAAGCTGTGCGGTTGAAGTAAGTTTTCATTGACTCCTGCATTCTCTTCAGCAACGATCCCCATACAAGACCCCGGAGTCCATCTCCAGATCTCGAGTTGACAGATGTTGAAAGCAGTCCCGGTAGGTTTCCACAACTGTTCATTCTATCTAGTTAGGCAGGGAAACGCAGGCACATCGGCGCTTGACAGCCAGTGCGGAAAATGTGTTGGAGGGCCGTGGATTGGGAGCTGAAGATCAGATCTCTCCCTCGTGGTTGGGCGACGACGTGGATGTGTTTCAGTTCGCCGAGATACCAACACAGTTTGAGCCCGCCGTGACCTCCACTCAGGCGAACAATGTGGCTGCACCCATCATATTCTCCTCACCCCCTCGGCACGGTCTTAAATCACTTCTTCAAAACTCAGCTCCTCTAACAACCCCTCTGCCCGAGAATTCCCCATCCACGAGGCCTCCTTCCCTTGACGAACCTCCCATCCCCTCTCCTCCCTCTTCGGAGTCCAAAAAAATTGAGTTGAAGCAAACCTGTTTGACGTTGGAGAAACCCGTTCCATGCGAACCTGCTGGAGTTTGTATTTCTGCTAGCCTCTTCAAAGCGCTTAATGAGGCCTGTGACGCGATTCAGGCCATGCCTATTCAAAAGTTGATTAATTGCTTCGAAGGCCAGATAGGCTGCATCACACAATTACTAACTGAGAGGAGCAATCACCAGTCGATGCCGCCTGCGACTCCCATGGCGCAAGCGAATCTGTCTAATGGTTCGACCAACGAATTTGCCTCTTTTGACTTCGCCAGCCCTAAGGTGAAGCCAGCCAATGGTGCTGATCTTTCCTCGAGGCAAAGTGTCCTCCCATTGGTCAACTCAGAAGCCTCGCCTGCGGTAGTTAGGCACAATCCCCTTTCAAAGGTGCAACTAATCGCGCGGTCTAAGCCAAAGGAGCCTAAACTCGAAGCGGATACTGGTGAGGGCAACGCCTTTCTTCCACTCAGCAGCCACCAGTCAAAGTGGGGTATGTAATGAGATTTCGTGACCCACAACAAGCCACTGGCTTTTCTAGATGCCTCTGCGGAGGCTGTGGATTACAAAGACCAACCAGACGACGGTTCGACGGGGGAATTCGACGGAACAGATTGCTTTCCCCACTCCAAAGCCATGATGGACGCCTTCAAGCGCATCTTTGGTCTCCGCACCTTCCGAAGGAATCAGCTCCAGGCCATAAACGCCGCGTTACTGGGCAAGGACTGTTTCGTCATTATGCCGACGGGTGGCGGAAAAAGCCTCTGTTATCAGCTCCCTGGTGTTATCGAGGACGGTCTCACGATCATTGTGTCTCCTCTTAAGGCCCTGATCTTGGACCAAGTGAATAAACTCCAGTCACTAGGTGTAGGTTCTGCTTCTCCTTACATCCACCCACCCCCCTCTCTCTCTCTCCGACATCCACAGCACTACTTATGCCTGTGTGTTCGTGGTTTCGTAGGTCAAGGCCGCCAGCCTCTCAGGTGATGTTTCCATGTCAGAATCCGATCGGATCTTCACTGCTCTTCACATGATGAATTTAGGCATTAGCATCCTCTTCGTGACTCCGGAAAAGGTGCGTAAACTCCCCCCCCCTCCCCTCTCCACCAATCAGCTTTTTTTTCCTGTTGGGTCAATTTTGGTTCTTGCGATCTAGATTGCCGCTTCTGGAAAATTGAAACAAGTTCTGGAGGCGCTTTACAAGAGGAATAAGTTGGCCCGGTTCGTCATCGACGAGGCACACTGTGTTAGTCAAGTAAGTTTTGGCAAGTGGGTCTCGGTTACTTGGTAGCGACTTTCCCAGCCATAGCTCAACCGATATGAGGCGGTTTTTGACCCATGGATTACTATTCTCTTTTTTTTACTGCCCTTAGTGGGGTCACGATTTCCGACCGGATTACAGAAACCTGCGCATTCTGCGACAAAGTTACCCCAAGGTGCCGATGATGGCCATGACTGCCACGGCGACGCCCCAAGTGCGTCAGGACATCCTCCACCAACTCCAGATGACCAACACCAAGTGGTGAGTACTTTTTTGATTTCTGACAGACAACCCAGAGACAGTTCCAGCCGCTCGGAATCGTCGGACACACCTATCGACCGTCTCGTTGGACGATGAGCTTGGACTGCGTTGGTACTTACAGCAGTCGTAGAGGTTTCTAGCTAGAAACAAAGTCTACGGGTTCGGCTGCTTGCCCGGTTAAATCATGCACCGTCTGTTTTCAAACATCTTTTCACGTAGCTGTGACCTGATGACCTTCTTTTTCTTGTGTTTCTTCTGTCAAGGTTCATCCAGAGCTTCAACCGAGCCAATCTCAAGTTCGAGGTTCGTCAAAAGAAGCTGAAGAGTTGCACCAAGGACATCATAAACCTCATCCACTCGGAGTACCCGCGTCTCTCGGGCATCGTGTACTGTCTGTCGCGCAACGAGTGCGACACGCTGGCCGAGGAGCTGACAGCGGCCGGTCTGCCCGCCAAGGCCTACCACGCCGGCATGACTGACGCCGCGCGAAAACGCGTCCAAGAGTCGTGGATCCAGGAGGAGAATTTTAAGGTTAGCCGCCGTCTTCGTTGGGGCGTCGTACGCTCCTGTCCGGGTTGGTGAGTGGGGCGCGATTCGTCCACGCAAGTGGTCACATTGTGAATATGGCCATTCTTTGTGAGCGGTGGATTTGCTTGGGGGTCAAAGGTCAGCTGTTTATTTCGTAAAATCCTCTCAGTCAAACAGAAGACGAGAAAGCTGGGAAAACTTGACGCACGGGTCACACACCGGTAGGTGAACCCACTTGACAGACAAGTGAGTCCGTCTGCGTTTCAAAATTCCTAGGCTACGGTGATTAGTGAGTTTCAGGAAGTGTGTAGATGGTGCTGCATCATGTTGTGTTTTACGTGTTCATTCGGAATGTACCATCCACAAGATCCTTCTCAAGTAGACAGCAACACCGAGTAAGCGAAACCGCAAATCCCACCATCGATTTTCTCAGACGCCAAGGCCTGTATGGTGAAGTTCTGTCAGTTGGGCGAACCCCTCTTCGAGATCTGTTTGTGACAGGATTGTTGGTTTTCATGTTAGACGACGAAGAAGAAGCCGGCACTAACGCTCCATGTTCCCTTCCACGCAGATTGTGTGTGCAACGATCGCCTTCGGCATGGGCATTGACAAACCCGACGTGCGTTTTGTGATCCACTACTCCATCCCGAAATCGATCGAAGGGTACTACCAGGAGGCCGGTCGGGCGGGTCGTGATGGCCTCCCAGCAACCTGCATCCTCTACTACAACTGGCGCGACGTGATTCGACTTCGGAAGCTTATTCATTGTAAGCGGGCCCAGTTGAGCGTGATTGGTAGACTCGCGGAGTCAAACACAGCACTTGACACTTAGAACCGAAAACAATGGTTCCCTCTGTGCCTCTGTAGCGAGCAGTCCAAACGGATACGCCGATCCGACAGTGAAGCTTCACGAAGACGCCCTCTTCAAAATGGTCTCCTACTGCGACAACGTGATCGACTGTCGGCGGAAGCTCATTTTGGCTCACTTCGGCGAGGCCTTCGATCCCGCGGACTGCGCCTTGGTGATTGGCTGCGAATGCGACAACTGCCAGTACGCGGAGAGACAGAAGTTGGCCCAGCGTGACCTCACCGTCGACGCCAAGGCCCTGGTTGAGACTGTTGTTGACTTCGTCCAGCGCCGACGCAACGTCACCCTCAACTACCTCGTCGACATCTTCAGAGGCAAGTTCTTGCCTTGGGAGGAACCAGTGTGAATGTATTTCTACACAATTATCAGTGGTTGTTAGTTCAAGGTGACTGTTGTGTTATGCTAGGTGCCCAAACAGCTCAGGTGCAGCGGAACAACGACCAGAACCTCGCGTTGTACAGCAGGGGCTCGAACTACTCCAAGACCGATGCAGAGCGCCTCCTCCATCGCCTCCTCGCTGATCGCGTGCTCAATGAAGAGTTTGCCATCACCGCCGTGGACACCGTCGCCACGTACCTCAGACCCGGTCCCAAAGCCAACCTCCTGCTCTCTGGCAGTCTTCAGGTGCGCGTTCTTACCGTTCCACGCCTTCGTGGAACGATTAGGTTTCGACAGGATGAAATCCGCTGTGTCTTTTAAACCGCCTGCGAAAAGTTGCACGTTCGGCATTAACCCTCAGCTTCACGTCCTCTCGTTTTTTTTTCTGCCACAGATCATGCTTCCGGTCGCCGTGAACATCAAGGCGCGTGGCGCCGACATCTTAGTGGTCGGTGAACAGCCGAAGGACAAGTTTGCAAGCATCCGCAGCGACTGCTACGAAGCTCTTGTCAAGACTGCCAAACAGCTCAGTAAGATTGCCCGTCGTGGCTGTTCCTGGCAGTCATTTTTCAGTATTTCCTAGCTGTTTATTATCGGTGTCTCAGAAAACGACCCTAACTTCATCCCCACACGAATAATATTCGCGCCATCGCAAGACACCGTAAAGTCGTCTTTGGGCACAAAAAAAATGCGTGTTGTCCTTTTGAACCAACATTTCTTCATATTCTCTATCGCCAATGTCCATCCATTCAAATTTCGTTGGTGGAGGGGTTTGCGATGCCTCTCTTTAGTTCAATTCCTCCCAACTACCTCGAACAAGTGCATTGATCGTAACACTTTAGTCAACCGATGTCTCATTCTAGTTCACTTTCCAACTCAGAGAGTAAGTAACGTTCAAAATCCAAGTGTCTTCGTGTGTCTAGTCGTCAACCGACTCAACGGTGTAAGAAACCGACGATTGTTGTTCAAGCCACCACCTATTTGCTGTGCACGAAGGCCATTCTAACAAATATAATGGTGCTTTTAGCTTCACAGCAGGGCATCTCGAATTACTCGACCGTGTTCCCCAACGAGATGCTCCTGGAAATAGCCGAAATGCTGCCTACGTCTTTGGAGGAATTGTTGAAAATTCCTCAGTGCACCGAGTACAAGTTGACTCGCTTCAACGCCACCGAGGCCTTCCTCGACGTGACACTCAACTATCTCTCAATCCTCGGGGGTGAGTTTCGCAGCCCTTCAAATCCGCCTCCTCCTCCTGCCCCACCACACCCACGACCATGCTGTTGTCTCATTTTTAGCCATGAAGGAAGAGGAGCGGGAACTGGCGGCGCGGAACGACCAGCTCCAAGTGCAACCGATGCCACCGACTAAGTCTGTCAAGAGCACCGCCAGAAAAACCGTGGCCTCGCGCTACTTCGGCAAGGTAGGCGCGGCTCGTCGTGTGTTGGGGTGTGCTCCATTTTACTCGGTTAGAGCTTGATCTAGGTAATTTGGTTGACAAAGAGGGTCTGGTCGACTTCGTCGACGGCGAGTTGTGAAGTTGGCATTCAGCTCTAGGTCTATTTGGGCGTCAGAGGTGCCTTTTTGGGACCTCGGTGACTGATGCTACGAAAACACGCCTCTGAACCTAGGTGCGTGCGCAATTTGCTCAAAGTTGGGCGCAGACTCTTCCCTGTACATACACTTTGATCCAGCCAATGAAACTCGCTGAAAACGCCGAGAGCCATATGCAAATAATGTGCAGCACTACGAGTTGTTGTGAAGACGCTTTACGCATCAATACTATTGGCTAGCAACATGGTGGATTTTGTAGAGCTTTATAAAACGAAGGGTTTTCCACAACCCTTACCAGTCTCCCTGCTAACTTTCAAGTCCTATTCCTTTCAGACACGTGTCGGCGGTGGAGGCGCCAAGACCTCGTTCAAGAAGCGCGTGTTCGGCAACTTTTCCAACAAGTCGAGAGGCGGTGGTGCCGCTTCGAAGACCGCCACCAAACGACCTGCTCCTTCTTCCAATTTTGGTGGCAGTGGTGGCGACACTCTCACCCCTACGTCCTCTTCCGGGTGGCTTCGGTAAGTCCCTTCCCCCTCCACAGCCCTGATTCCCATCTGCGAGATTCGTCGGGGTCTCTGGCGTTGCAGGCGCGGCGTTTTGCTGATTTTTTGTAGAGGTTCGTTGACAGGCACTTGTAGATGAGATGACATCACATCATCAAAGAGCATTGCTCTCGTTGGCCGCGTTTTACTCGAATTATTCCGGTTGCTAACACGCTAACTTGCTCACCCCTGTCCCCTTCACTTTAGAGCGAAGCCCCATCCATCGTCTGACGGACCGTCGTTCAAGCCGAAACTGATGAAACTGACTGCTCGCTTTGAATAACTCGTTGTCTTTCTTTGCTAGCTTTTTAATGCACTCCCCAAACCCTTCATCCCGCTGTACACATTCCCTCTAGAAGCCTGGTCTACTTTTTTTTCTACATAAATGTTCTATGTAAAATATGTATATCTATTTTCTTAAAGCATATCCACTTCTTTTGATGTCTGGGTGTCGTCGATAGTCGACTTGAAAGTAGCTGGTTACTTATCATTTGCGGACTCTTGGATGAGTCATACTCACAAAGACGGGTGTTCCACGCACACGCACACGCACACACACGGTCCTCAAGTCGCTGACTTAAACGTCACCGTGACGGCGTTCTCGTTTGCACCACCGAAAGAGAAGTTCACTATTAAAGCGAAAAACTAATACGTTAAGTACGCAATGTTGACTTGGGAGGTCAGTGTTGAAATGGGCAAGGGTTATAACTTGGCAAGTTCCGGCGGCAGCTCCAAGTCCGCGATGTCTCGAAAGTGCAGAAGCATGGCCATGAGTTTGGTGAGGCGCGGGACCGTTGAAGACGACGCGGAGCCCGCCGCTTTGGGCAGACCCAGCATGCTCAGGTTCCCGCCAGCGGAGCCCTCGAGCAGGGTCGCGTCGGTTTCGCCGGCGCTGTTCTCGATGTGCCAGAGGATGGCCCGGTTGAGGGCGCCGGCGATCAGCTCGGCGTGGCGTGCGCCCAACAGAGAACCGTAGATGCTCTCTCCGGGCTCCTCGAACGCCAGCAGAGCCATCGTGTTCTCCATCTCGCGCAGGATCTGTGGGTACTCCGACAGACGGTGACTCAGCGGACCGGCCAAGTAGGACTGCGCGAAGGTCAAGGCCTCTTCCAGACGACGTCCTCTGATCAATTCCAGCATTTGAAGTTGTCGAAGCTACAATTATATCGACAACCCACCTTAGGATGTGAGCAATGCAATAGTGAAATCAATTTCTAACGTGCGTGTCAGCAGCAGGCAACGACCGCACATCGCGTTGACGCCATTTTCGGATGATATTAATGATGACGCAGCTTATGACAGCAAAGCGCCTCTTAAAGTAACAGAATAGTCTTCCTAGCACAGTGCTACCTTCCTTCAAGACCTCATTAAAGGTCCCATTTAATCAATACCGCGGCAAAGCTTCTGTGGTCGATTTGGCAAATATCGTTAATTTATTCGTACGTTAGTGATCGTTTTCTGACTCGTACTATAAGCTTTTGGTAATTGGGGTCGTCTCGGATTTTCAGATTAAAAAGTAATACTCCGTCATATGATTTTTTAAGAACGTACATAAAGCACCGCAGCCCAAAAAAGCAGTTAAGGCTAGTCGACAACATCAATTTCAATTTAAACTCTAGGTAACGTGACAAATTGAGAAGTCAAGAAACGCTCTTTGTGGTGTTAAACAGGCACAAAAGTGTCAAGCAGGTTGCAACACCCAACGTCAACATTAAAGCAACGATTCAGCATTCGATTGACATGGTTATGAGCATTCCTTCTAAACACATACACACAGAGCAGCCGTGTTTAATCACAAAGTGCACTTTTTTAACCAAAGGAGTGAATTTAATAAGACAGACCTGAAAGTATATGTAGGGGTTTTTCTCAAACAACTCAGGCCACAGTTCATTCACCCTAGCAATTGTCTCCTCAATGCGGCGACTGAGAACGGCCTCGCGGATCGCCATTCTTTCGGCCAGACTTGCGCCAGTCGAATGGATTTCGGAGAGGGGTTGCGAAATACCGATTTCTTTGCTGAACTTCTCCGCAGCGTCCTTGTAGCCCTCTACGACCAGGTACTCGAGAATGAGGCGATTGATCTCCTGGCGGGTCAGCGTGAGACCAGATGGTGCGCCGAGACACTCAAATGTGGTGTAGGGAGCCGCTGGTAGGCGGGCTTCTGTGTTTTTCGCAGCATTCTGGTCTGGCTGGTCCACCAACTGCGAAGAACTCATTAATCTTGAAAGAAGACAGGTTTACTGCCTATGAAAAAAGCACTAACATTCGAGGAAATTTAGACCTGTAAATCACTAATGGGTAACCTAATTGCGAATTTTTCGCAATAATGAAATTTCGATGGTCTAAGGCATCCTAGTTTAAGTAATCGAAAAATGGCATTTCGAGTAGTTGCACGCCGATCACTCCCATTTAAATCAAACGTCAGATCCCATGTTCAGGGAAGTCGATGCAAGAGATCGAATTGAAAGCAGCATCATACCATGATGATGATGCAGCAGTATTTTACTATACATGGAATGAGATCCCCAACCAACATTTATGCCTGCATCAAAAGTATTTTCACATTCTTTTAGTAATAAAAAGAACTTTGGCTATTAGGGACAAATCAGAAGAAAAAATTGTATTCATAAAGTAAACAGGTAGACATTCATTAAGGTATTTAGAAATACCTCGCCAAAACCATAGCACTGTAAAACGAATATGTTCTGATATGTAGATACCTAAGATTTAAAAAAAAATTTACGCAATTGCTTAACGGTGTAAACTAATTATGGCGCAGTACATCAGGGTATGAGGCTCAAAAATCATCACATAAAATCAAACTGAGATGGGTAATATATATAAATAAATAAAGATTTTTATTTAAGAAAGAAGGAGGTCATTATTTCAAACAGTAGTAAAACCTCAAGCTTCCAAAGATAGCATATTTGAAATTAAGAGACGAAGACATAGAATCCTTAATAAAAATAGTGAAAATATGTAACATAAACGGATTACATTAAAGTATACGATGTAAACTAGACAAAAAACAGAAATAAATTGCCGAAAAAGAAATTCATTCCCTTATGTACACATTGTCAAGTGAATGAGATAGGGACCCAAATAAAATAGAGAATGAAATTTAATATTCACCTTAACTGCTATTTATATACATACATGTATCAGCAGAAACAATAACCATCGTTTATATTTCATCATTATTACAGATGTGATAGAGTGATATTAAAACTTAAACCTCTTTGGATAAAATATTACAAAGGACGAATTGGGACCACAGAACACACGCCTTTAGAGAGCCCGCTTTAAGTCTAATTGGAGCGTTGTTCAATAAGATCACTTACTAAAACCAAACGCATTTGTTGACTGATTATCCCATTCATAACTCACCATTTACTAAGCAAATTACAAATATAATTATTCGAAGTTCTATGTTCACTATATGATTTGATATGAGTGCCAATATATTCGATTAAATTTCTTTAAAAGGCTCACAAGCTAATGTGATACCTTTTGTAACAGGAGTTTTATTAATTAGCATCGACTGTACCTAACGTAAGCTCATTAGAGTTTTTCGAGTGTTTTTTTTATTTTAATAACCCTAGTATCTACTCCTTAACTATATATCTGGCTTTATAAGTAGTAGATTAAAGTAAACATATTTTTATGCTACACAAATTGTGTTGCCAGGTTAAACGTGTTATTGATCAATGATTATTGTAAATTTTACAAAGATCTTGAAAAGACGAAATTGTTTTTATCACATGCTACTTTTATTTTATTGTGTTGAAATGAATCCATACTGTAACTCATATCTCGTGATTAAACTGAGAAGTTTCAAAAAGCAAAGTTACGGTGCTACAGTCAACGAATTCCTGACAAAAACACGAAAGCTTTTGTGCTGTTAGAAAAAATGGCCTTCCGTACTGTGTTTGAAATAAGTCTCAATCTACGGTAAATTTAACACAACCGCTTTATTTATTTAAGGGCTGCAGTAAATTAGTTGGCATAGAAACAATTGCAGAAATATTAAAATAACTTTAAATTAGTATTTTTACTCTGTCTGTTTTAATGCCTAAATTTAATCATTGATTAATCTCATTTTTTGCAAAGGTAACATGACATTTGGTAGACGACACACTCCAACTTTTCTTTCAGACAAATGTAAATGGGGTTTCTAGGAAAAAAATGGGCTTTATTTGGATTGTATTTTGGACACACGCTAAAAAACATGCAACAAAACGCTTTATCTTTCATTTCTTATATTTTGTACACATTTCATTTTTAATTTTACATGTCTTTATTCGCACTCCTTGCAAACGAGACCACAAATAAGTTTTATAGAACGCATTGTAATGATGGCCAAATGCATTATACTTATATACGAGTCCTTTATCTGACATTGAGCTCCAATCCATTAATTTTTTTGTGACTCTACTTTAATAAATGTCTACTGTGTTAAAACACTGTGTGCTCTCTTCTTCCTTACAAAATTTGAATTCGGTTTTTAACTTTGTTCGTTAAGTGCATCAGTGTGAAGAAATCGTAATCCAGAACTGTCCATTAGCCACCTGCACATGAGTCCTTTATATTGACTGCGTTTTCCATCATAAAAGTGCTTCTTACCTAGCCTTCCTGCGAAGCGTCTTCTACCATTATACACCAAACGCTAAAATCCATATAGACAGAGCATTATACTCTAGCGGATAAACGCGTGTGAATCAAAGAACAATAAAATAATCACATACGTGAAATTCTTATTGAGGTTATCAAAGGCAATAAATTTCATGACAATAAGTAGCTCACCACCAGTTGCGCTTTTGAGTAGTGTTCTTCTAAAAATAGCATATTTAAACGAGGGATTAATGGGAAATAGCATTGCAATTATTACACATGACGTGGGCAAATATTGATGCGTCCTATCTTACTCTGCGCCCTTGTACGACACAAAATAATTTCATGGATTTTGAATACACGTGCATAGTTCTAACAGGCAGTTCTCAATCCGATGGTTTCAGATTACAGAGTTGCCAATAGATGGGTTTAATGTGTTTTAGACAATCTTAGAAATGTCTCAATTTGTCTCATCTCCCTCACGAAAGGACAAAATGAATTCGTTATCGAGTGTCGTCTCATAAAGTCACTCTGAAATTAATGTCTTTTAATCACAAAACTCAGCTTGTTGATGTAGACATTTTCTAACTTCTTCTCAAAGCACAAATTTACTCCATTTAGCACACTAAAAGCTGAACCAAAGAGTACATTGAAAGTGATTTATTGCTAGCCAAAAATCAATGCTAAATGATCAATTGTCGTAGTTTTTGTACTTATCAACTTGACTTTTAAACTTCACACCACTTGACGCACATTTATTTTGACGTACAAACAAACTGCATGGGCTTCGATTTAGGTAAGGAAATTGACTTGTGTAAACGAAGCGTAACCTAAGTTTGCTATTCTATACTGGATATATCCTAAAGAAAAATACAAAGATTATAAAAACTTTTATTTTACATTATGATTGCAGCTAGTTTCTTTATCTTTACAACACTAGAGAGAAAGCTACTTAAAAGTGGGTACTAGGAATAAGGATAGGTGTTGGTGGTCTGGTGGCGATAATTTGTACTTAAATTTAACAGCTTCTGGCAGAAATCTGTACATGAAAACGACATTAGCACAAGTTTGATGCAAAAGAGGAAGAAGAATAAAACGATCTGTCATAGGACTCGCGCCAGCACGTCGACATTGTGGCGCCCTTTAGTAGCTGTGTGTGTGTTTGTGTGTGTCAGTTGTGTGGGTAAATGGTGTGGGTGTGTGATTAACCAGCACTAAAAGGTACCAAACCGTTGGAGTTTAAGAAAACTGGAGGGAATTTAAAATCTTCTTCGGACATCATTGGGACGGCTGCAGGTCGATTAGAAAATTATTGATTTGTTCAGATAATCGATCCTAATTAATCGCCCGTAATGTATTCATTCTTGCTCTTGATTACCACGCACATACCAATGACCTTTATGGCAGCAATGTACCGGTAACACGTTGCCATAACATATGCAGGCTTTGGAAAAAATTTTAAGTTTTATTGCAAATGCGATTGAAGTCACTAATTAATTGCCCTTTTTTCCTACCATGAGTTAAAGATTCCTTTCAATACGACCTCCCTATATCCAGAAGTTGGTAGTTAAGCTTACGCGGCGACTCTTGACATATTTTCGTCTGTAAATGAGAGCAAAGATTCATGTTGGATCACAAATTATTCCCGAAATTGATCACCACGGAATACCAATCAATTTGATCACCTGTTCCGCCAAAGTTAATGCGAAAATTTCTGTTAGCTTACGGATTCACAATTGCGTTAAATCCAGGCCTGAGGTTGTGTGTTTCGGAGTGATTCCGATTTGCAAATGACCCCACGAAGACTAAGATTTGTTGGTGGTGCATTCCGGATGCAGGAGGCTGCATTACATACTGATTGTCAAAATTATGTCATAAGTCCTCAATTCTGGCTCGTACAACTTTGATCACGCTGATTCTGTCATAGGGATTAAAGTAAAATTTGCAGCATCAAGATGCTACTGAAATCTTAAATGTGATTTGGTCATTTTGTCGAATACCACTTAGCAGCATCTGCAAATATTTGCATTCCAAGCTAGAACATTCATCGCATAACAGAATTATAAGGGGTACTGCCGCATAGTCATGATTGGATGTCCACAATTAGAGCTAACCAAGAGACCAATGAAATTGCAGCCTTGTAGCAGCCAATGACTCCTCGGTGCCTCTTAGCACCAGAGACCTGAATGTCGGGTGTGGTTAAATACCTCATCCACAAATGCCACTAGACTGTTGGGGTCACGTAGACCTGTTGATTTTGGTCAGAAAATTTTCATTTCTGATTATGACAAGCTTGTCTAACTCGAGATTGTGTTCGCGCATGTGATATCACCATCAGCAGCATAATTTTGATACACACTGAGATTTCCCGAAAGCGCTCAAATTCGTTTTAATCAGTCAAATCTCCAGCGGTTTTTCAAGGCAGTAGGAGAATTAGGTGAAAAATTTCCACTTGTCAGGTTTGTGTAACCATGTTCCATCAGTGTCTTTTTTTTCTAAAAATGTAAATTGTAAATTGAAAACTTTGATAATTAGAAATGTCGAATCCCAGCTGTTACCCGTCGCCGTCTGATGCAAAATAACATTTCTCTAAAAGTAGTCTATT